GTTGATGCAGCTCAGAGCATGGAAAGGAACATGCAAATAGGCACTGAGTAGAACCACAGAGATCTGAATTTGTGATCCATATATACAAGAAGAATAAAAAGACTGGAGGGTGAGCAGGTTTCACAGGTTTGATTCACATCCTGAAGGATTAGTAAGAGTTTGTCTATCCTGAGCAGACCTAGGATGTCTGCTCCAGACACCTTGGAAGTGTAAGTGGTATGTACAAAGGCAAAGTGCATCAGCCGGGCATGGTGGCACACGCCTGTAATCCCAGCACTCAGGAGGCTGAGGCAGGAGGATCACTGTGAGTTCGAGACCAGCCTGGGCTACACAGCGAGTTCCAGGGCAGTCTGAACTACATAGAGAGACCCTGTCTCAAAAAACAAAGAAGATCACAAGAATAGAAATTGTTGATGTCCTCAGTTTGGGAAACATGGAGATGGAGATGAAAAGCAAAATTAGGGCCAGCTTCTACATAGCCTGGAAGATCTTACAAATATGCTAATCTATCCCAGGGATAGCAAACCTTGTAGAGACCAAGTACCAGACTGCAACCCAAAACCCACTGATTTATTACAAAGTACCAACACTGCAATTAAGCCTGAATACTGAGTCTCTAGTTTAGAAAACACAGCTCTCACATTAACTTTAAAGAAAAAACACCAACATGTATGCCATGGGTTTGCCATCAGTGCTCTATCCTATCAAAGAGGTCATCCTATCCCATTGGTATCTACAGATGTGCTAGAGGCCAAGATTACCACACAGTGTGGAATAGGGTAGTGAGGTTTTTGCACTACTTATGCTCAGCTCTAAGTGTACATAAATGTATATGTATGCATGTTACAGAGATACAGAGGAGATGAAGGCAAGGATTTCCACGGAGCACTGAACTGATGAAGTTAAGGCCATTAGAAATTGTCAATTTGCTAAAGATACAGCTCAGAGTAGGTAGCACCTGGGCACTTTAGAGGCCTTAAAGAGATCTGGGCCTAAAGCTCAATAGATCGTTCCAGGGCAGAATCTCTGTGATGTGTGGAGGTAAGACTGGGCTTGGGGAAACCCACAAATTCCAACAGGTCTGCCTTTAAGAGTGCGTAAGGATGAGGTGGTGGTGCTCAGCTACTCTAGAGACTAAGGCAAGAGGACTGTAAGTTTGAGCCCAGCCTAAACAATTAGGCAAGATCCTGTACCAAAATTTAAAAAGCTAGGATGTAGCTCAGTGCAAAGGACCTGAGTTCAATCCGCAGTACCACACACATTAAAAAAAAAAAAAAAAGTCTATAAGGGATTATGAGGATATAGCTCAACTTTCAGCCTTCCTAGGTTCTGTGAAAACAGGGTAATGTAGATGCCATCAAGTACTAAAACAAAAACAAAACAAAAAATGATACTAAAACACATAAAGGCCAAGGAAAGTGGAACTCTCTTAAGGAAAGAGGAAGCAGGAAAACAGTGACTCAGGAAAAACAAAGCTGCCAGAAGTTTCAGCCTACATATGCCCTAACCAAGTGGCAATGACTATCACATCTCAAATGGGGGTGTATGATCTGTGGGACTTAATAAATATTTAAATACCTTGTCTGTTGTGTCTGTTTTAACTCTTCCTTATATTTTCAATTAGGGGATCAACAAGAGGATTTTAAGCAGGAGAGCATCATGAAAAGATTTATATATCATGGGGGAAGAAAAATCTAACGGTCAGTTTTAAAAACGTTCCAAGCATTAACGTCTAAACAGTGTACCAAACACCATGACCAAAGCCGAGTTTTCCCAAAATTGTTTTCCCCTTCTTTATTATCCTGTCCGATCAGTCTACAGTAGACTGAGACTGACATCTCCCATTACTTAGCGCCCTGTCCTACAAATTCTGTCTTTCCAGGGTCTCTTCTACCTGACCCAAATTCACTTTTCAGGCCCACAGTAAAGTCGCACCTACCATCTGTACCCTGCCCATCCTTCCAGACTCCTAACTGGCCTCCAAGGCCCAGTGTCACTGCCTCCCAAACACTGAGTCCACTACACCCTTTCCATCTGGCAGTTAGAAGAACCACCAGGGGGAACTTTATAAAAATATCCCAGACCTACTAAATATGAATAGTTTACAAAGCTCCCCAGGCAATCCTGAAGCACAACTAGTTTGCTAAATTACTCTACATCCTTGCCACACATGGTGATGTGACAAGCACCCTCCCTGCCAAATTAGAAATGCAGAAAGCCAGGCCCCACACCTGACCTTAAAGTCTACATGTGAGCACGATCCTCGCGGAGTTGGACTTGCTGAGGTTTGAGAAGCTCTGCTCTAGTGTTGAACCAATCATTCCACAAATATTTACTGGATTTTCTGTCAGACAGGGAGTTGGAAGAGTCAAGGTCTCTCTGATATCGACTCCCATTCCCCACACTGTCCCTTCAGACGAAGTCCACACTTCTGTCCCAGTCCTTTATGACCAGCTGGGACCAGACCGTGTTCTGTCCTAACCATCAGCTCATTGTCCACCACCCACCATAGCAGCCAACCTGGACGACTGGCTAATTCCTAAGGCTAATCCATGCCTGCCTGTCTACACACCTCTCACAGCCCAGGTTACCTTCATGCCACCACCTGGAGAAACTCAAGAGAAATCCTGCGAGGCTTATCACATGCATCGCCCCTTTAAAAAAAATTATCCAGACTCTTCCTGCTCAGAGGAAAGAGGAATTTCCACAACTTTGTTCCTACCCCCGCGTCATTTATATCATTCCCATTAGTCTTACAGTCATAATGCATTTGCCTTAGCTATCCCAGTGAAGAACAGACTACTGACACTATCCCAGTAGCCAATAAGCTAGTGACTAGCACATCACTAAATCTCAAAGCAACACGACTAGCAATAATTAAAATGTGTTGTAGAAGGGCTGGGATGTAGCTCAGTGGTAGAATCTTGCTTAGAATGTGCAAGACCCTGGAACCAGCACCTCAGCAACAACAAAAAGTGAAATAAAATCTCATATGGATGCAATAGTGAAAGCCTCACTAATCTCCCTTATCTCCTCATTCATTGTGCTTTAAGTATGTAAGTAGAATATCCATATTTAAACTCAATATTCACTCAAATGAGCTTTCTTTAGCCCACGAGAATTAACTTTAAATCAAATAATATTTAGTATTTTCCTCCTACCAATAATCCAAAACCGAAGGCTGAATTATATTTATGACTATATGGATATGAATATATGAAAATTAGTAGAAAATAGTCTGAAAATTATTTGTCTATGATCAACTACCTTTCTGAAATTGAATATTTAACTTTACAATGAACACCATAAAATCTGTAAACGCATCAGTTTTGTATTACAACCGATCAAGTAAGGATGGAGGAGGGAGAAGAGAGAAACAGGAGGTAGACTAAAATATGAAAAGGGAAAGATCTATACCAAATATCCAGGTGTTCTAAGTTAGACTTGCACTGAATAGAAAGTGTATTTGAGCCCTACTCAAAACTTGAAAGTTCTGGTCTTTAAATATTTAATCTTATTTTCAGTAAAAAAAAGTCTGGAATCTGTAGAGGAGGAGGACCCACTTTTAAACAGGACCATCCCTCTTGCAGCCTGACCTTTTGAAAAGTACACTGCGATTTTGCATTAATAGCATGGGACGCACGCACTGTTGAACAGATTTGCCTGAGCGATGTCTTAAAGCTTCCACACCACCTTGGGCTCTTTAGTTTTCGCTGCTCCAGGAGCGGAGCTGGGTCGTCCATATCCACCCAGAACTCCAGGGTGCACAACCGCCAGCGTCACAAGCGCCACACCGGCACCTGTAGACCGCGGTCGGCCCGCGGGCCCCCGGAAAGTTAAGAGTGGAGATTCCAAGCAAGCCCACAGGATTTACCCACCCTCTTCTTAGTCTTCTGAGCAGTAAAGGGGGTGAGGTCCCCGACCTCGCGCCTGGGACCAGCTCCCGGTCTGAAGATCACTGACTGACCCCCAGGACCCCTGTGGTTCTTGCACCTGGGGTCTGGGTTCCCCGGGCAATGCCGCTGTCGGAAGCCCAGTATGGACACTGGCGAGTCCCGGGGCATCGGGGAAGCCCACTGACCTGAATGCGGGGCAGTGGCTCCGGTCCGGGCGGCTCAGGTGTGTGGGCCGCTTGCGTGCCCCTCCCACCTCCGACCATCAGAGACGAGAAGCCAGCACAGGTCACCGGCCACGACCAACTGCCGAG